CCGAGTAAACAGATCAACTCGTTACACACATCTCCATCACTGCAGGCGCTTATGAAAGTGATGTCCACCTACTGCACGGTTTTTACTCTGTTACAAAGATTAACCGTTCTGTGGTTCTAAACATTTGACACAGAAGAATTATAGGGAAAATAACAGTGGGGAGATAAACACATGTTTCTGAACTGGGTTTTTTTTTGGGGGGGAAGCGTATTTTGTTTGTTTTTGGTGCTGGAAATAGGACCCAGTGCCCCTGACTAGGTAACTACCACTGAGCTACACTCCCAGTCCTCAGGTGGTTTTTTTTTTGGGAGGGTGGGATTATAATACCACATAGACACAATACCAAAACTAAGTCAAAGCAAAGTCACTAACAGATTAAATCTTTCTTTACAACTGGGTATTTGATTTCCTAAGTGCCTAGTCCTGGATTTACATCTTGGCAGGCAGGATGGTCACCCCCATTTCTCAGCAAGGGAAATGGAGGCATGTGATCTTTTAATCCTTTGCAAATATTTGCTGAGGGCCTAAAGCCTGCCCAGCCAACCTTGGCCTAACATGTGCCCGGGCTACTCTGTTCTGGGACAAACTCAGTGACTGTTGCCAAATTCCAAGTGAGAACAAGCTCTCCCCGGTGCATTTCTCAATTCCGAGTCCCTCCCTCACCTCACCGGTGACAACGAGCTCGACCTACATCTCGGATGGGCAGAGAACTGAGGACCACGGCTTTCTTTCTTGGTTTCCAAGACATCACTGCACGCGTGGGCCTTTTACCCCCTTCACGTCATCTGAGAGTGGTCACCCTGTACCCACAGCATACCAAGGGCCTCCTGGGGGACATCACACCCTTCTCAGGGAACTCTGGATGCCCTCAATTTTTCCCATAAACTCCGGGTTATAAAATGTGGCCACAAGAAAAATGCCCCAGGAACAAACTGTTGATCAAAATTTTTAACCTCCCTATTCCAAATACTCACCAATATTGTAACTATTTTCATCCTGCTTAGAAATGCCACTGCTTTGTCTCACATGCTCCGAGTAAACCTGAGTGAAAACCCAAATTAAAAACCACATGAAGGGCCGGGGATATAGCTCAGCGGCACAAGCGCCTGCCTGGCAAGCACAAGGTTCTGAGTTTGATTCCCAGTACCAAAAAAAGAAAAAAAGACAAAGTAGTTCCTAAAAACCACAGGAGAGGGAAGCCTTAAAGCAACCCACCAGCAAGGCCTGAGCTCTCTCCACCTACACACAGCTCGGAGAACTACCCCCAGCTGCTCTGGCTGAGAAGTCCCCAGGAAAATGGGAGAACTGGTGAGGTGGAAGAAGGGGCTCCTTGATGATATTCGAAGTCCTTTTAAGTTATACCACACAAATGGCAGGAAAACCCCTTTCCATTGGTGCATGGCTCTAACCTATCATACGCTGCTAACTTGGGAGTTTTTCAGAACAGAAACAAATCTGAAAGGTTTTTTGTTTTGTCTTGCTGCATTAAATGGTCAGCATGCCGGGGAAAGCTTCACGTAAACAGCAATACAATCATGTACTCCCTGCAAAAAGAGGCATCCTCAAAGCTCCCTTATAGGGAGGCAGGCTTCCTTTCCTCTTTGGTGGCAGCAAATCCTTCCTTTCCACCTTTCTTCCACTGGGGAACCCACAACTTCCTCTATTCTCAAAAGCTCCTGTTATGCCTATTTGCACTACTCTTCTAACTTCATTCATCCACTATCAGTACACACGGTCTAGTAGGAAAACTGAAGATTTTATTCCAAAACCACGTCAAAGGAAGCCAGTTTAGAGAATGGATGGGAAAATCTTCATTTTCAAACACAACACTTGGAGCAGAGGTGATCCTGTATGATCTCTCAGCCTGTTTCTCAGAAGAGAACTTCAGGCTTCCAAATCTACTATGTTTGCCCTTTCTCAGAAGGCTGTGAGGGCTGCCCAGCAGGACTACCACACGCACCGGAAAACACAGAAGAGGCAGCGGAGGAGTCCAGATCACCCACCATCTGATAGGAAGCTGCACCGGCCCTCGGGAAGCCTTCCCGGGGTGGCCCCCTGGATGTAATGCAATCACGACACAAAACATCAGGGATGCAAAACATCAGAACTGAAGAAGTTTCACACGGAGGGCCAAACAGACAAAAAATTCATTTTTTTTAAAGAACGTGTGCTGAACAGAGAATGTAAAAATACGAGGTTAACCCTTGCAGGTAACATGTTACATCGTGTCAGATGTAATTCAATTCTCAGTGATCAGAGATACCGAGAGCGAACAGATGAACCGTATGTAAAATTTCCTTTAAAACAACATGTTGAGGAGGCCATGAAGGGAGAAGGGAAATCAGACCAAGCTGACAGTCCCTGAGTGGGCAGGAGATGAACGTGGGGTTTCTGACATGCCACTATCTTCGTATTTTTCTATAATAATTTTTTAAATAATGTAGAAGGATGTAAGGGGCCCTGGATCGCGAACAGGTGCTGGGAACTCGAAAGCAACTAAAGGTGGTTCGATTCCCAGAGCAGACAAACCAAGTAAGAAAGGATGTGGGTTGAGATCTCACAAGGAAGATCCTAATTCAAAACCAGAAGCATGTTTATCTCTCGTGCCAGACCTCTAAAAGCTTCCAAGGCTACCTCAGACAAGAAGGGGAGTTCCCAGGAATTCAGACCCCCCACCCTGTTCCGAGCTGCGCAGGGGCAGCCGCGCCAAGCCAGGGCCGCCCTGGCTCCAAGGGGTGTCGCGGCCCCAGCCCAGGGAGCTGGCTCTCGGTGCACAGAGAGGCAGAGACCGGCCACGGGAGGTGGCAGGAGCTCGCGAGCAGCTCCGGGGCGCCCCCTGAGGTCCAGCGGCGTCTCGGCACGCTCGGAAATCCGAAAGCGGGCATCTCCCTTAGCTGTGACATTTTAACTTTGCCTGCCTCCAGAAACCAAAGCGTCCGCCCAGGCTACACTTTTCCAAGACAAACCCCTGTTTTCCCCCGCCCACCACCCGCTGCCCCTTCCCTTTCCAACAGCCCTCGGCTCCTGGATGAGGGCAAGAGCCATTTACCTGGCACCGTGGGCATCAAAGCAGAAACACGTAAGGATGAAAATGGTCCCAGCCCCACCACGGCGGCATCCCTGGCAGTCCCATTTTGGATTTCAAGTACCCTCAGACACCAAGGAAAAGAAAACCACGGCAAGAACGCCGGAAATGAAACTGGAAATTTGTTTCGCCAGCACCCGCGCCCCTATCACGCGTGGCCCTATCGAAGCGCGACCGGGGTGCACCTGCTCGCACCCGGTCCTCACGTCCGCGGCTAAGACCCCGAGTGCAGCAAAGGGAGACGGTCAGTACAAACACTGATCAGTGGTCTCCGGGGCAGAGCGGGCAGCTATTTCTCAGGAGAGATGCCCTACAGTCCCCGCTCGCCAAGAGCCACGAGCCTGCGAGCAAACCCCGGGCCTCGGTGCGTGCGGCCGCACATCCTCCCCCGGCCTCCGGGCTGGGCTTCGGGACGGTGGTGGGCGCCCTGCACCTCCGGGGACAGGAGGAGGCGCAGGAGGAAAAGGGAGCGCTGAGGAAAAGCCGGCGCTTGCCCCTCGAGGCCACCCCGAGCCTGCCAAGGGGGCACCCGCCGCCGGTCTCCCTGGAGCCGGCCCCTGAGGGCGGCAAGGGCGCCCGCGCCGTGCTGGGGGGCGCACGACAGGTCTGGGGGACCGCTGCACCAAAAGCAGACGCGCAAGCCGCCCAGCGACAGACAGCTGTTAAACAGGGGAAGCCGAAACAGCTAACATCTGGGCACGTTCTCGTCTCTTGATTCAGCTAACCCCCACCTCCCAGGGTTCAGAAGCTGGTGGATGAGAAAGCAGAAAAATGGGGTGTCCTCTATCCTTAGGGAGCATTACGACGAAAGGCGAGGCGCCCCTTTTTCCTGGCTAGGGCAGAGGACGGGGCCTCCAGCCCCTGCAAGGGAGCTCAGCAGCTTCCAGGGAGTCGGGGCTGCACGGGGGCCGCTGCAAGAAGGGCGAGGGAAGGCGCTGGCCTCTGCCCTCGGAGTGGGGGAGGCTGTCTGCCGGCTCAGGGCTGGGAGCGCGGGGTCGCGAAGCTGCACGCGGCTGTGTGCAGAGATTCATTATTGTCAACGGCCAATACTGCTCCTGCCTTAACCTGGCCAGAAGGCAGCGGGTCTGGGTCGGCTAGCCGCGAACAGCCTGCGAAAGGGCAAAGACAGGTAGGCAGGGCGCGAGACGGGAGAAATCCGCCCTAGCGCGAACAGCAAGCAGCAAGCGAGCCGCCGACCCGCCCCCTGCTCAGCGACCCCGGCACCCCAGCCCAGCAGAGCAGCCAAGGAGGGGCGGGAGACGCAGGAGCCAAGGGTCCCCGGCCCCCACCGCGCCCAGGGAGCCGCCTCGCGCCCGCACCGAGGCGTAGCCTGCGCCCCAGCCCGGAGCTGGGGTGGGGAGAGGCGCCCCCGACCCGTGAGACCCGGACACTGGAGCCCCTCACATCCGCGATCCGCAGCGCCAGCCTCCCGCTTCCAGTCCCGCCTCGCCCTCCCAAAGCGTCGGACAGCTGCAACCCTCACCCCCGGCCCCGAGCTCCTCAATTCCCGCCGGGGAGCACCTCGGACCCCTCGAGCCACAGAAGCATCTTCCCCCGGGCCCCAGTCTCCCCCTGCGCCTCCCAACTCCAGCCCTACCGGTTCAAGCCGGATCGGCAAAACAAGTCCCCCTTTCTGCCGACCCCGGCCCCCACAAGCCCCCCACTTCCGAGCGGGAACGGACCCCGGGGTGCCCAGTCCGCGCTGGCCAGTCCCTGCTTCCACCCTCCCCGACAATCAGCCTCCCGAAATACGGCGGGAGCCGGCGGTGCGGATCCCCGTGCCCTCCCCGGGCGCCCGGCCCCCCTCCAGCCTCTCGGGGTCCCCCGGACGGCGCCCAAGCTCCGCACCCCGCCGAAAACTCCGCAGACCCGCGCGCGGGGGCCGGGGCCGCGTCCTCTGGCGGCCGGCACTCACCCGGGAAGCACACGACATAATGGAGCACGGAACTGGTGATTTTCAGGAACAAAATCCACCAACACGGTTCCAGTAACCTCCGCATGTCCGAAAACGCACATCGAAAAGAGGAAAGCCAGGGGTAAACTTGTTGAATAAGTTCTTGCCTCCGTGCGAGCCTCCGCTAAGCCCGGGCGCCTTCCCGGCTCGCCCGCTCCGCGGCCCCCACGCTCAGCGGCGAGTCCCCCAGGAACCCGGGAAGCCGCCGAGCGCCCCCCGGAAAATCTCAAAAAGTGACCGAGGATGCGAAGCCACGCCGGGGACAATCCTCTGGGCGGCGAGGCGCCGCTTTCCGCCCGCGCAGGAGCGAGGCGAGCGGGCAGGGCGAGAAGTCGGCGGCCGG